AGCAGCATTCCGGTGTCTCTTAAACAAGTACGGGGCTGTAGTGAGGGCAGATATGCATGTGGTTCATCTATGAGACCCCAGATCCAAGCAGAAATGAACAAGCAAACTATGCTCTCCCTGTTCAAAAGCCATCCGGGGCTCCTTGGTGTGGATGGGATGAAGACAAACACCTTAACAGGCCTCTAAAGCCCTCCACAATCAGGTCTAATCCTCCTTTCCAGTCTTGTCTTCAATGATTAGTTGATTTGGGAGCCTAACTGGCCTCTTCAAGTCCTTTACTCCAGCCTTACTGGCTGTTGATCACCTCTATTTTGAAAAGTCTTGAGCTTTTCAATATTTGGGATTTTGCAGATGCCATTCATCCTCCATCTCTTTTATTTATTTATTTATTTATTTATTTATTTTGAGATGAAGTCTCACTTTGTTGCCCAAGATAGAGTGCAGTGGGGCATTCTCGGCTAACTGCAACCTCCGGCTCCCAGGTTCTAGCAATTCTCATGCCTCAGCCTCCTGAGTAGCTGGGATTACAGGCACATGCCACCATGTCCAGCTAATTTTTGTATTTTGAGTAGCGACAGGGTTTTACCATGTTGGTCAGGCTGGTCTGGAACTCCTGACCTCAAGTGATCCACCCACCTTGGCCTCCCAAAGTGCTGAGATTACACGCATGAGCCATCGTGCCCAGCCCATCCTTCACCTCTCTGTCTATCCACATCCCCGTCAACTTTCAAAGTTAAATCAACTCCCCCCTTGCCCACTGAAGTCTCCCTGGACTATCCAGCCCCCAGTGGTTTCCACGTCTGCATGCCCATCTCCACCCTCACCATTCCTTTGGTCAGTATGATCTCCCGTGGCATTTCTTCAGTTGTGAATCACTCATGCATCGTTAGTTCGCCTTTTACAACCTTGATGTGTGTGCTCCAACAAGACTGAAGTTCCCTGGGGGCATCACAGACATGCAATACAACCTCATCACCTGGCGTGACTCTTCCACATAGCAAGCCTTCCGCAAATATTTCCTGATTTACAAATCAGTCCAATTCGACACAGAGACATCTGCCATACTCCAACAAAAGAGTGAAAAACCAGGATAGAAACGTCTTTGTTTCTGTCTATGCCTGATGAATGGTGAGTGGGTAGAAGACAGCATACATAGATGTTCAAATGAAAGCAATCTGACAGCATCTGCATGGAGTACCATTTAACCTCGCCTCCTACTGGGCAGGTATTCATAACAACTGCCTCCCAATGTCAGCCGCTGCTCCACGTTCCCAGGAGAGGGCCCATTCAGAAAGTCACCAATTCATTTCAGCTTGGCTTATAATTAATGCAGCAACCTCTAGCATCAATGACCTATGGATTGGCATATGAGTAGGGTATAATTTACAATCTCTATATAAAATGTCATTTTAAAGACTTGTGGTCTTGTCTCAGGCAATTTCAAACAAAATTTTTAAAACATTTTTACTCAATAGGTGTAAAAACTCATTGCTACTACCATCTCCTCATATTTTCCCCACCCCAACGCTGGCCCCTAATCTCTACAAAAAAGCAAGGCAAGGAATGGAGGGAGGGAGGAAGAAGAATGATGAGCGGGAGAGGATCTTAGAGATCTAGGACAACTGGCACCTCATTTTACAGATGAGAAAACGGAGACCTCCTGATATTGTGGGACTAGCAAATGGATTTGGTCAAAATCTTTTTGAATCCTGCTGCCTCCATTTACTGTGTGATCTAACCTCTCCAGGCTACTGTTTCCAGAACTGTAAAAGGGAAATAACATCCCTCACAGGCTTGTTTTGGGGTTAAATGGACAAGGAGTGTGAAGGCACTGACCACACATAGGTGCTCAAAGGCCAGGGAGTCAAAAGTCAGACCCCAACTAGTTTCCTTCCTTGTTGCCTCCCCAGGATTCTTAGAAGAGAACATTTACTGCAGCTGAAACCTCCCATTCATACAAAAAGGACGCTGGAGACAGAGGGAAGCCACTGAAGAAGGCAGTAAGTGGCTAACGAAACCGCAACTGCCATCTGTTCTTTGCTTTCTGAGTGTCTCTGGACAAGGACAAGTTAAACCTCAGGAACACTGTTTTCAGCCAGCTGGGCAGGGCTGCTGGAAGGTAGGAGAGATCACCGGGAGGGCAGAGGCTCCTTCCCCAGCCTCCAGGACAAGGATGCAGAAACTGCCCACCTAGGCAGCAAATACCTTTCAGTCTCCCTCAGTCCACACCATTCAGGTCTCTGGCAAAAAATAACAGTTCAGCATGTGCATACAGGCTTAGGAAAGCAATAAAAGGGTTCTTGCAAAGTAAAAAGGATGTGGCTTTTAAACACTCATGCACCACGGAGAGTCCCTTGCCCCCTCCCGCCTTCCCCCTTCTATTTGGGACACCCTCCATCAAAGCAAACAGGCTTCTCAGGAATCCCCACTACCACCCGCCGCAAGCCTCCGCCAGGAGTGAGGTAGCGGCTTTCTGGAGGAAAGCCACTCTCCCTGCCCTGAGGGGCTGCCTCTTGCCCGCTGCACCTTGTAATGGTTCTCCCAGCAGCCAAGCTAAATGACGAAGTTGGCCCACAAAGTTAGAGCAATTCAGGCGACAGCTATTTAACAGTTCAGAAGGGGCTCCGCTCAAAGCACTTCCTTTCCTCTAGGGAGCTGCATTTTTCTAAGATTATTATTTCTTGGGCTGGCTGCTCAGCTACTCAGCGTCATTTCCCCTTTGGGTGGGAATGTTCTTTCCTTCTGCATTGATTTTCATTATGATTTAAGCCTTCTCTCCCTCTCATCTGCAGATCTCACAATTAAAGCATAGCATACGGATCACAAAATCAAGGCACATAAACTTTGCATTCAGCTTAGAACTGTGGCTCGGAAGTCCTGAGTGGCAGAAAAACACACGCATAAAAAGAAAACCTCTAGGTCTCAGCATCTTGTCACCACTGGCTGAAACATCAGCAATAAACATCAACTGAACAGCCAGCAGGGTGACAGGTGGGCGCAAAAGCTTAACAATGGCTATATAAACAGGGAGCTGCTCTCCAGGGACTTACAGTCTAATACAGGCAAACAACCCACATAATAGAATGCAAATGCGGTTACTCAGCAATGAGAAGTTGAACTCTGCCAGGAAGAGAAGAGCTGGGAATGGCCCACAGGGAAGAAAAGGACATCTGTGGCCCTTGCTGCTGACACTAGTGTATTTGGAAGTCCCAGGGGCCAGGCCCTGACTACCAGCATCCCCATGGCACGAAGGGGCTGCAGGCAGCTTCCCCAGCAACCAAATGGAGCACGTTACTTGTGAGACTCAGGGCTTGTTAGCAGCAGTAGCATGGCGCCTCCCCAAACACAAAAATGCTGAGGGAGAGCAGGGATGACCATCTGTCAGGGGTGCTGCAGGGGCAGACATCTGCTGCAACACAGTGTGGACTGGAGGACCTGTGGAGGACCTCTCAGCATCAAGACCTTGCTGCCTTGTGAAATAAGTGATAGCATCTAGTGAAACATGAGGGCTAATCCAAAAGGCCCCCAATCCTGGTTATTAGAAAAGTCAGACTCACTGAAATCACTGAACACTGGTTTTCTTATGTGTTGTTTCTTTTTTATCCCTAAATGACACTGCTTGAGCCACTACCAGAAAAACAAGCACAGGTCATGCCTAGATCCTTGGCCATATGAGTAGCTTCTAGCAGCTTCAACAGGTGTTCATTTCATCTCTTCTAATCGCACCTTTCTAACATCTCTTCAGAGATTGGGCCTTCGAGCCACTGATGAGGAGGCACTCCTTGGGTGGTGTCTGTGGGACAGCAGGAGACCAGGAGAGCCTACTTAGGTAAGAGAAGGTGGGCACTATTCCAACTACTCTCTCGCTGCTTTCTGGGACTCTCACACGTATTCCTTCCAGTACCTCATATACCTGAAGACTCCATCACTCACCTCTGCAAAGGAATCAAACTGGGAAAGCCACAAAGCCAAGACTAGCAGTGCTACCTGCCACACCTGTGAGGGATGTTTGGGTCACATAAGGCCCCAATTCTTACCAGCTGAGTCCTGTAAGCTAGCTGCCTCCACTGTCCCTATCTCTGTAATACCTACCTCTCTACGGTCTCTGGAGATCCTACCCCTAAGAGACGGAAAGAGACTCATGTGCCAGCCCCATCCAGCCAGGGCCCCTGCAAGTCAGTGTCCCTCCCACCTATCCCCTAACAACAAGATGGGGGCCATTCAGCTAACAAAGCCTGACTACTACCCAGAGAAATCTGCCTTCAGCTCTTGGGTGTCTCCTCTGAAATGTTCTCAATTCTCTGCACTCTATCTTCTGTTTAGAAAAACTCACAAAATACTACAGTGTTCCTCAGTTACTTTTCTAGTTGGAGAAAGTCGGGAAATGTGCTCTTTTATGTTCTTGATTCCTTCCCATGGAACTTAGCAAAACAGTGTATGCTGTAAGTAATCTCAAGTCAGGGTCACTCTGGGATGTGTCTCCTACAAGTCTTCAGAAGCTTATCGCTCCTCTCCCTTGTCTTACTGTTCCTCGGTTTCTCAATCTTATACCAGTGATTTAAAAATTCACAAAATAAGGCATTTTGCGATAATGGGAATACTGTTGAATATGAAATTGAGTTTTTACAGGAGAACTTGATTTTTAAAAATCCAAACTTTTTCTTATTTAACTCTAAGAAGCACCTCTAGGTTGGAGGAAGCAAGCTAATTCACGTGCCAGAAAGTCTGCATGATATGAGAAACTTAAATGAATTGTCAATTACGCAGACAAAAAACTCAACTTTCAGGGAACCTCCAAATCAATGTCCAGTGTTGCAAGCAACCCAGCTTCTTTGAATAGCCGGGACAGAGCATATGCCCTGTGTCACGCACAGGAAGGCAAAGGCTAACACCACCACGTTGCTGACTTTGTTCAAAGCACTTTCCATTTATTTTTACTTTCATTTTGTCACATCATCACTAGGAGGCTAGAAGGAACAGGCATCATCACTTCCATTTCACAGATGGAGAAAGTGAGCTCAAAGAAACAACATTCCCAAGGTCATAATGGTATTACGGTTAGAATTCCACTCAGTCTGTGACATATTTTTCCAGCTCATAAGAAGGAACTGGACACAAAGGTAGCAGGGAGAAGAGGTCAGTTCTTTCTCTCTGCGTGGAACGGGCAGTGGCTATCACGGAGCAACAGTTCATTGGGAAAGGAAAGGGGAGGGAGGAGGCTCAGGGATGGTCCTATATCAGCCTGTGCCTTGTAGGGGTTCAACCATGCAACCCCAACCGCGTTCCTTTGCTTTTAAGTCGAACCAGTAGAGCGTTTTGTTTCAAACTACGTACATCCTTTGTCCTTTACAATATCCCGTGCTAGAACCCCTTAAAAATCAGTTATTTAGATGAGAAAGTCGAGCCCTGTACCTGGAGAGGCCAGTTCTGTATAGCGGAAAAAATGAAACTGGGGACAGGCTGACCAGATATCAGAGGTGAGAGATGCTTTGGAGCCTTTTTCCCTTTTGCTTTCCTTTCCTTTCCATTTTCTTAAAGTGGGGTGGAAGAGATACAGGGTACCCCATAGGAAATAAGTTTTCTTCCAAAGGGTTGGGGGAGAACGGGATGGTCACATCCCTCAGTCCAGCCAACGGCGAAAGCGTCCCTCCCTACCCGCCGACCCTCAGGGTCCCGCACACGCCGGGCGAGGAGCCCCCACCCTGGGTCGCGCTGCGCGGAGGGGCCTACGGCTGGGGATACGGCCCGGGGCGCGCCCACGCCCCCAGCCAAGGCTGGCCCGGCGCCGCGTTCCCGGCTCTCACTCACCCGCGCTCCCGCCTCTGGGGGCCCGGCTGGAGGGTCCCCGCTGTGTCGCGGCGCCCGGCTCCGGGGCCCTGTGGTTGGGGCCGGGGGTCGCGGGCCCGCGGCGCTCCCGGGGCGGCGTGGGCGGCGGCGGCGGCTCGCGCTCCGGGCGGCGCTCCAGCTGCAGCTCCAGCCCCGCGCCCGCGAGGGGCGCGCGGCGGACCGGGGAAGGCGGCGGGTCCAGCGTCCCGGGGGCCGCCGGCGGCAGCAGCAGCAGCGGCATCAACAGCAGCAGGAGCAGCGGCGGCCACCGCGAGGCGCGCGGTGAGGCCATGGTGACGGCGCCCGCCCGCGCTCACATGCCCGGCGCGCGGGGCGGGCGCGGGGCGGCCGCGAGGCGAGGGCAGCGGGCAGCGGGCGGCGGGGGCCGCGCGGGGCCGGGGAAGTGAGCAGAGTGAGGTTGCGAGCGCGCTCCCCCGCCTCAAAAGTTGTCCGGAGCCGCGGGAGGGCGGCCGGGGGCCGGGCGGGCTGGGCGGAGGCGGCCCGCGGCGCCGCTACATGCTAATTAGCCCGGGCGGGTCGCTGGCGGGCGGGCGGCTCCTCCTCGGTTGACATCACCGGCCCCGCGCGGCGGGCCCGGGGGCGGGGAGAGGGCAGGAAGGGGGCTGGGGCCCGGCGCCTGGAGAGCGGCCCGGCCCGGGACAGCGGGATGAGGTCAGCGGAGCCACGGTGCTGCAACTTTTGTCACACACATGCTCCGCATAGAGTCTTTTGAATCGGGCACCACTTTCCCAACTCCTTAAACGCACAAGAAGTAGGTGAAAAGCAGGTCCTGGGTAATGTGATTAGCACCAGACTAGATTATCCCAAGTGCTTTGATAGGAGAGAGAAAGGGAATGGTCCCCTGGTCCCCAGCCCGCGCTGTCACCGCCCTTAATTGATTTGAAGTGTCCCCACTCCCACCCCCACTTCCCCTTCTTCAGGCCCCAGGGCTGGTGATGAACTCCTGTTTGCCAAACCTAACACCTCACCCTCCGGCCAACCCCCACGCCCTCTCAAGCTTGGATGCTGTTCCCATCCGACCACTGCCTTTGGCTCACACCAGAGTTCTGCAGAGATGTCACCGCGAGGACACCCAAACAGGCTGCAGGGAAAAGAAAACTGTGAATTCAGGCAGGCTAGGGCAAACTCATCATCAGGAAAAGAGCTGCAGATTGCAAATTAAACCAAATGATGCCCAGAGATCACAGAATTTTAAATGGAAACCTATGGGGAAAGATTCAAAGATTTCATGTAAACAAATTTTCTTGGTAAATAAAGTTCCATTTGTTTCCATAACCACTCCCTCCCCAGTAAATGAATAATAAAATGTCTAAAGTTTAGGACTGTAAGCCTCCTCATTAAGTGAAGAAAGAGGGGCTCAGATGGGAAAATAACTTGCTCAAGATTCTGAAGGTAGACCCGAAGACGAAATGATTGATGTGTGAATGACCGTGTGATATTGTTAATTCTGGTCTCCTAATTCACAGTTTGCAGTAATTTGCAAACAGAAACAAATAGTATTGCAACAGAAACAAATGTTGCAGCTCCTTGGGGATCTTGCCAGTTCTGTTGGGGGCCCCTGTCTGACAACCAAATGCTCATGAAAATATGAGTATGCACCTCACTTTCAGGCCTGGCTCTCCATCCCGTTTCTCTGCTCTTCTCTGTTTCTCTGTCTCCAGATCTCCATGACCCACCTCCAGGAGAATGAGATCGTGGTGTTCAGGGCAGCTGCAGATGGGCCTAGGCCCACTTTCTGGTGACTCAGTACAAGTGAGTCATTTGGCAAAAAAAAAAACATAAAGGAGGCTGTGTATAAACAAACTCACCTTAAATGAGGGAATGAGGAGTAAAGATTTGGTTTTATTTTGTTTTGTTTTTAAACAAACTAGCTTTCCAGGGCTCTCACACAGAACTTCCAGGTCTCTCCAAGAAAGTACCAAACAATAACCCCCCTGAAACTGACTTGGTTTGCTCTCATGGCCTGAGCTCAACTTCTCTGGATGCTGCTCTCACATTAACAGGCAGGACTGCACAGCTGCCCAGACCCAGTCAGACAAGCCCCAACAGACTAGGACTGTGCTCAGAGGTTCTGGTCACTGCCACTCCCTCCCCTCCAAGGAGACCATGTCACATAGTATTGGTTGCACTCCCAGGCAAGCAGGAAGGTTTAAGGGTAGAATGGCCCTTACAGGCTTCTCGTGTGGATTCAGGGATCCTATGAGAGAATCTGCCTTCTCTACTAAGACCCAAGGAGTAAACATGTACCTGCCACCTCCCTGCAATCCTACCTCACTCCCCCAATCCCTTCCCACTTTAAGTACCACAGGTTTATCTCTCTCTAATCTTCTCTCTGCCTTCTAAGAGAAATGACCAAGTTCAGGGTAACTGCCAACTAGAAAGGGCTTAACCAGCAGATTAGGGGAGGGACACACAGGGAGAACTTGGAAAGATTGATCACGGTGTAGATGGATTCCAGCTCTTTTTCTTCTCCTCCTAGGGCAGAACAAGAGAAAACAGCAAGACAGCAAGAGAGAGCTGGAGGCAGTATAGAACCTTGGAAAGAACAGTTGACTTGGTGCTAGAGCCCTTGCTTCTTTTCTGGCCTTTACCACTGTTTAATTGTGTGATCTGGGCCACAGTTTCCAATCTCTAAAACAAAGATGGTCCTAGATGTTTGCTAAGGAGAATTCTAGCTCTGATGTTTTAGAGTTCAGTGAAGAACTTCCGGCACAGTAGCAAGGATGTATGAAATAGGTATCTCCCATCCAAGTACTGACCAGACTCAAGCCTGCTTAGTTTCTAAGATCAGAAAAGATCAGGCACTTTTAGGGTGGTACGGCCATAGACTAAAACAATTATCTAAGAACGTTTGTAGTGTTTCCTTCCCAGGGATGTGAAAATCCAGACAAGATTCTTGACCATCTCAGATAGCTTGAGAGCTCCTATCTGGAGCCAGGGTCATAAATCAGATGACTTCTCAGACCCATTCCAGCCCTGGGAATCTGTTGATCTAGGATAAAACAGCTGGGAAGACAGCTCAGAACAAATTCCAGGACTGAGTGAGTTAACAGGCATTCCTGACCTCTCCACAGGTAGGAGTGGGGGCACCCCAATGTAACTGAGAGTGAAATCAGCAGGGAGCCCAGTGTCTTTGCCACCTGAAACTTCATGTAGTCAGAGCTTTTGCCAGGGCTTTCCTGCCTCTACTTGTGTTAGTCAGACTAGGCTAGGCTGTAGTAACAAATAGGCCACCCAGATGCAGCAGCTTAACACCATATGTGTTTCATTCTTGTTCCCTTGACAGCCTTAGACGCTGATGTTCAGCTCAATAGGCTGCGTGAAGAAGCTGTCCCATTGAGCTGAACGTCAGTGTGTAAGGCTGTTAAAGGAACAGGAATCCACATTATGAATCCATGTTATGGTGGGTCTGCCATACTCTACTATGGCTTCCAAAGTTGCTCTGGGAATTGGCATCCCAGTCAGCCAGAGGTGAAAAGAACATGGTGGTGTGAGCAGAGGTTTTGGTGGGCCCGGTCTGGAAGTGCCTCATCTCCTCTTACATTCCACTGGAGAGAGCATGGACACATGGCTCACCCAACTGCACAGGAGGCTGGGAAATGTAGTCTAACCACAGAGGCAAAGAAGGGGAGAAGGGATTTGGGTAGACTGCTAACAATCTCTGCCCTACCTCTAGATATCAGTAGAGCAGGGAAAGAAAGGGAGAGTAAAAAGATTCATCTTTTGGTCTCCGTTTCCTTCTTTATGAGGGTGTTGAATCAAATGATCTCTCAAGGCCACCTAATCTAACATTCAGTGGTATGAAGGGGCCATGAAATGTCCTTCCACACCAAAGTGAACAAACTGTACAGTTTCCTGCCACAACGGATCTGCAGCTTGACTGGTAGACTCAACAGAGAGGACCTTGGGTTCTCTCTAACTTCTGTTCCAAAGCTATTCTCATTCCTTGGCCAAGTCAGGTGATCTCTATTGATCTGTCTCCTTCGCTGCCCAGCGGGGAGAAAAATCATTTCCCTCTGCTGCCTCTTGGGGTTGGTCTGAGGATATGATGAGATCACTGCCCAGAAGGTACCAGGAACTCTTCTGACTACAGTGGTCTGCATGGTGCCCTTATGGTAGCCAGAGACTTTTATAACACTGCATTCTAACCTGGCCCCACGGTGTGCCCAGTTCCTGAGGATGGTGCCTGTGCAGGATTTGTGGTCACACAGGTTGGCATTGCCATGGCTGGGATGCAGTGGCAGGTGCACAGCAGTAATGTCCCAGGGACACTCAGGACTCTGATGCCCAGGGGTACCTGAGGGCTGACAGATCAGTTAATAGACACCTGGACTGAGCTCGACCTAGGGACAGGTAGGTTGGGCCCAGGGATCTGTGTCTCCACTGGGGCATCTGATGGCTTCTCTGTTATCTGCTCATCATCCTATTAAACCCTGAGTCTGTTTACTCATCCTCTCATCTGCTTGTCCCCTCCCACTCTTAATCTACAAGGTGCTTTCTGGAATGCTCTGTGCTTTATTCATCTTTATATCCTCAGAATCCAACATAAGACTTTCTTTTATTTAGTCATTCAACAAATATTTACTGAGTGACTGCACTGTGCCCGGCACTGTGCTGAGTGCTGGGTAAGTCTGTGACATCGTAGAGCTTAAGGGTTTGAAGGAGACAGACAGTAATTAGAAGAGTATAAATGTAAACTTGTCATGTGTAAGTGCCTGAAGGAGAGCACTCAGGAGGGTGTGTTGGGTTTTCCCGTGGACATGAAATTGAACCCTGATCTGAAAGCTGTGTAGGCTGTTAACCAGGCAAAGCAGACTGGGGAGAGGATGTACAAGGCCCTTGAGACAGGAGGAAGTGGGATACATGGAAAGGACTGGAAGAAAGCTATTGTGACTGAGATAGAGAGTGAAGAAGAGCATGGAAGGAGGTAAGCCTGGAGATTTGATAGGAACTAAATCAGGGAGACCTAACAGTTCATTTTAAGGATTTGTTTATTTATTTTAAGAGTTTAAGGAAGTCATTATAAAGTGTTAAATAGAGAAGGTAGAGTACGGTGAAGGTGGAGGAGAGGAGGAGGAGATAAGGGGTGAGGGCGACATGATTTGGGATTGGAAATCGTCATTCTAAGATGATAAGAGGATAATGATAAGAGGAATAATATGATAAGAGGAATAATTTAGAAAGAAATAAGAACTGATGCCTGGACTCTTGGAGTCCAAGAGGAAAGTGACAATTCTTAGATAAGGGTAATGAAAGTGAATTCAGAGGAAAGTATGGATTTGAGAGATTGCAGTAGGTAAAATCCACCAGACATGTTGATGGGCATGGAGGATGAGGGAGAGAGAGAGTGGCAAGGTTTCTCAGGTTTCTGGTTTGCACGATTGGATGGATGGTGGTACCATTCACAAGGCGAGGGAACGGTGGACAAGAACTATTTGAATCTGCAGAGTTGGAGCTGAGGGGAGAGGTCCCAGTTTAAGGTTTGTAGTACAAGGGGATGGGATTACATAGGGAAGAGAGTATCATAGTCAGAGAAGACAGGCTGAAAATGAGTCCTGGGGAACACAACATGAAATGGCTGGGAGAGGAGGCTGAGCCAGAAAAAAGACTGGAAAGGAGCCTCTGAGAGATAGGAGAAAACCCAGGAGAAGGTGACATCACCCCAGCAAAGGGAAGGAGATCCTGGCTCACAGTGTGCAACGCTGCCGAAAGGTCAAGTGAGGTGAAGACTGAAAATAGCCATTCGTTTTAGCAACGTGGAAATCACCAGTGATCCTAACAAAAGTGACTTCAGAGGAGTGTTCAGAGCACAATCCACATGGAGAACAGTGGGAGGAGTGAGAGCCGAGGAAGTGGAGCTGGTGGAGATAACATTTCAAGAGAGTTTGGCTCTGAAGTGGGAGAGTGAGCTGGGACAGTAACTACAGGGGAACGAGCAGAGGGGAGTTCTTGTTTTTAGGGGGAACATTTGGACGTGGAAATGGTCTGTGTGGGAGGGAGAAAGTCAAAGGTGATGGGATCCCTAGCCCAGGTGGACAGACTGGCCTGGGAAGAGGAAAAGAGGAGAGCATGGGGTACTGCAGGGCCTGGACTTCCCTCTGAGACTTCAGTTTTCTTGGTAAAGTAGGGGACTTGACTTGTAAGAGAGGCGACTTGCTGTGAGTGGAGGGAACGAAGGGGCAGGCATGAGGGATTTAAAATTCTGAGAAACACCAATGTATTCTTTTCCTAGGGCTGCTGTAACAAAGTCCCACAAACTGGGTGGCCTAAAACAACAGAAATGTATCCTCTCACTGTTGCGGAGGCTGGAATTCTGAAA